GTCCACGTGTAGAGCCGCCGTTTGTGTTGTTGAAAAAAGGTGTTTGCAATGAATAAGTCATTGGTCTTGCAAAATTCTACCACGCAAGTTCCAGCATTATTTCTGTCACCAAGACCAAATTTTCCAACTACTGGTGATTCTTCTTTGTTTCCAACTTTTGCATTCCAGTCACCAGTGATAATTAACACATCCTGAATGCATGTTCGATCAATTTCAGACTGCAGAAGTTGGATAAAATTCTTCAATTTCCTCACCTTTGGCTTTGGTGGTTGGTGCATAAATTTGAATAATAGTCGTATTAACGGGTCTTCCTTGTAGTCGTATGGATATTATCATATCACTGACAGCATTTGTACTTCAGGACAAATCTTCAAACATCCTTTGTGATGATGAATGCCATGCCATTCCTCTTCAAACTATCATTCGCAGCATAGTAGATCATATGGTTGATTCAAAATGGCCAAAATCAGTCCATTTCAGCTCACTAATGCCGAGGATGTCAATCTTTATGCGTTCCATTTCATTTTCGACAACTTCCAATATTCCTAGATTCATACTTCGTACATTCCATGTTCTGATGATTAATAGATGTCTGCACCTATTTCTCCTCAATTTCATAAAGGAGGACTATTCATAAAGTTGCGCAGTAATGTATCAGACAGTGTTTCTTTGCTGTTCATAAGGTTTTCCCTGGCCAGTTCTTTGAGAAGTGGATGGTCTCTTCCTTCTGTCTCAGCTAACCAGAAGGCTGGCAGTTCAAACCCACCTCTGTAGAGATACTACCTTGGAAACCCAAAGAGGGGTTGCTGTGAGTCAGAATTGACTTGATGGCATAAACAGCCCTTGTGGTGCAATGGTTAAGTAGTTGGCTGCTAACTGAAAGGTTGTGGTTTAAACCTACCACCTGCTCCACTGGAGAAAGACCTGGTGATCTGCTTCCATAAAGATTACAACCTAAGAAGCTCTATGAGTTCATTCTACTCTGTCCTGTTGAGTTGGTATGAGTTGAAATTGACTCTCTGGCATACCACAACAACCTACACATTAATTCTTCTGCTCATTATTTTTATTAGAAGTCATGTATGTTAACCAAGCAGTGGGGAAAGCATGTTAAAAGTTATTATTCTGGTGTTTTATTCTTCAGTCATTCAGAATAGCCCAGGAGAAGGCTGGACTTAGAAAATAATGTTAACTTAAAAAACAAATACCATTTACAAAGTCTTGGGGGTCTTCCATACTGGCTAGCGTTTTGTTTCTGTGATCTACATCTCTCCTTTTCCCTTCTGTCTTTCCTCATTCTGATGCTGGCCACTCACCCCACAGAGGCAGCTCAAAACTGTTTCCTTGTGGAACATTCTGAGTTTTTCCTGTTGTCTTCTCTGGGACTCATTTCTCTTGTATGTCTTCAGTTGGTTCTAAGCCAAAGTGATTGTCTAAAAGCTTTCCTTCATTGCTTTGTTTCTTGGCTGTTTCATGTACTTTGCCTGGTTAGTTTTGCTAGTTTATCTCTTTTTCCAGTTGTTGTTGTTGTTTGCTGTCGAGTCGGCCCCGACTCATAGCGACCCCTCCTTGGGTTTCCGAGGCAGTATCACTACGGAAGTAGGATTGCCCAA